TACCTCCTTAATGCCAAAAAATCAATAAACGCTAAAAGTACTTACGATCGCTTGTCGGCTTGGTACGATCCTTTTACGTCGCCATACGCGTTTCTTCAGCTCACCGATCGTTTCAAATAGTCGAACTCGTTCCGACCATCGTTCACCGGTGACCGATTCGATCCAGACATCAACAGGAGCCAGGCTCATCCTTTCCAATTACATTCGACTATATTACTACCACCTTAATCAATTACTAATTTAAGCAATAAACATCAGAATACACATAATCATCATTAAACCTAAAAGTATGACGACGAAATAAAAACGTCACCAACCAATCATAGCACCCAAACGGCCATGAACACTTTATTAATCACAACAAAACTCTGTTAGAAATCTCACACTTTTCAACACAATCATAGGCTATCTACAAATATACTCATTTCCATCATCACAATGTCATCAGTTAACTCGTAAAAGCACAAGTAAATCAATGCACTGGTCAAATAACAATACAAAGCTGTCATTTGTAGAAATCACTGTTATAATCACAACAACAACAGCACTCAAACTGCTTGGATAAAACACTGATTCATATTCACCGCCAATAGTCGACCCTTCAATGTTGGAGTGAGCCATGTATGTAGCTCACACCTTGTCAACCGGTGCTCTTCACGGAATAAAGTGAATATAAACGAAAGAACCGAAGAACACCACAACAGCAGCGATATGAGAAATACCGAAATAAAGGAAAAGAAAGCATAAGGATACAAACCTAACTTAACCAGTAAAACATCAACAAAACGAAACTCACTAATAAGCACTAGCAAAAAAAGCAACAATCCTGTTCTGGTACGACTTTTTCCTATTCAAAACTTGGTACTGTATAAACAGGGCTCTGAAGAAAACGAACTAAGGAGATTTTGTATTAAAAAATTCTACTTGTACTCCTTTATACATCGCCGGGTCACGAGGTCACATATCGTAAAGCAGCCTAGTAGAATTCCGGATCGGTTTCAGATTCTGCAGAAGGCTTTCGTCCAAGTGATTGCTGGCCTGAAGAGAAAAAACATCATCAGCTATTTATATCATAACTAATAATGGCATATTATAAATATGTACAAAAGAAAAACCAAAAGTCAATACATAGATAGATATGAAAACCTAGTAGAGTGCAAAACTGTAGTTTTAAGCCCATCAATAGAAAGAGGTGTTTGGTAACGTATACCAGTAGGTAATGTGCCTGGTCGCCAGTCGAAATTTCGGAACTGCTATTGGCGAAATTGATCGAATGCTTTGCTGCGAGAATATCGCTATAAAAAACCCTTCGACACGCAGGAACACCAGCAAACGGCAAACATCACAGTACAGTACAACAGTACTTCAGGTGGACCTTACCGGAGGAATCGAATAACAGTCACAAGAACAGTGAGCTATATAAGGAATCAAGGAGAATCTGAGTATGTTCACAAAAATCAGATAGGAGCTGATGGCCAAATCACTCGATCCATTCCATTTTACCCATAGAAACGTTTGCAGCGCACCTCCAAACCTTCCTTCAAACAGAAAAATTGACGAGGAAATTCATCTTATGAGCTTGGGCCAGGAATCTTGCAATCAGTTCACACTTTTCCAATCACTGACAGCTTCACTGTTGACAGATATCAAACAACCAAAAAATCAGCACCGTGAACGACGATGTACTTCCATTCTTGTGGACCCCACAACTTCAATAGACTGGAGCACTGGAAGTACGTGTCGGGAAAGTGCACTTTCAAGTCTAACCTAATCTGCGAACGTCTTCTCTATTGAATGCAAATTCAGCATTCGTAGTTAGAGGGGTCCAACTCTAGCGAATAAGCTGAAGATAAGAGCCGAACTCCGTACCAGAGTGGGCAACTTTCAGGCAATCAAGTTCGCAAAGTAAAGCCTCGCATTTTCCCAAGGCAGAGTAACACGTTAAACTTCCTTGTGTTTCGGGCGAATGGGCAAAGTGGGAGCGTAGTTATGAGCGGTCACGTGTAGCCAGGTGACAGCAGTTTCCAGTGGAGCACACAGAAAGGTCACACTGTGAATGAAACCGAATGGACCATAAACCATGAACCACCCACAGCACAACCAAATCTCTCAGAGGGTGATCCTTCGAGATACGCCTTACCCACACTCTCAGTGCAAATTCTGCCTCCAAGTAAAGCCGGACCGGTTAAGCGAAACACGCTACCAGTTTTCTCGGAATAAAATTACGAACCAGTGAATCGTAAACTAATGTGAACATTCAAAAGACGGGTATGGCATAAGCGATTCAACGACCGGAAGAGACTGTATCCTCAAGCCCCTTCAGAAAAATACGATCGTTCTTGGTTAGAATAGTGTTCTTCTGTCAACCACACGTTTTGAATATATTGTCCACAGGCCAATTATCGATAAAATACACAAACTTAAGGTTCCAGGTTTCATCATGGCAATCTTCTGCAAATTTCATAAAAACGGGCCAACCAACCAACCCACCAGAGTAGGAACCCGTCTGCAGCGAAAATGCTTTCATCTGCACAACTCTATTGTAAAAATTTCACATTACGCATCCGATATTTCGCGAACCATGAAAAACCTGGCTTGGCCTTGGCAGAATAGTTGAAACCTGCTGAATTACCTGGTAAAACATCTGCACCCTACTGACTGCTGTAGTAGCTGACGGTATATAAGCTGAAGCACTCAGTAACCATCAGTCCTCCGCTCTTCCACACTCCTCAAGCAGAAATATGAACGCCCTCATCATTTGCCTACTAGTTGTTTCATCTTGCATTGCTTTACCTAAAGGTAGGCTACAGCCTTCAGTACTAACTTTTATAGATACTGTTCCAGGACACCACATATGTAGCTATCACAAACCATTTTTTAGATTATTGGGGCTACGGATACGGCGACTACGGGCATGGTCATCATGGTCAGGACCACGACCATGGATATGACAAGGGATATGTAAAAGGATTCGAAAAAGAAGGATACGGTGAATACGGTAGCCACAAGTATGGTGGATGGGGACATTACGCTAAAGGAGAAGAGCGCGGCTCATACTACGGTATAATTCAGTAGAACTCTATAATTCGGAGTGAATTTTTGAAAAATATGCATTCAGGATCTGACTACGACAGGGACCACGGTCATGGAGGACACGAACATGAAGGCCATGGAGGCGGCTTTGAGTATGGTTATGCTCCACACCACCATGATCATGACGATCACCATGGGCATGGCAAACCTTATGGGTACTATTGAGATTATTTAAGATGGCTGTACTAGGCTTACATGCTGCACTGGAGGAACTGAACCCACCATTACCGTCAACATAGATGTAGCGCCTATACAGCTAAAATATCGACTAACAGCAATTCTGATAAAATTATTACGAAGTTTAATAAAACTATTGATTTTATCGTCAAATCAATCATTGAACATAGTGAGCGTGGCCAACCTTTGACTATGAGCACTTCCTTTACCCCTTAATCCATCTCACAGGCGCGTTCTCAATCTTCAGAGTGGAGAAATACTGCATTTCACTTCAGGCTCTATGAATCACTTTTAATAAGCCGAGATCAGAATCTTGAAGAGGGCGTGCAGACAGTTCTTCAAAGTGAGTGCAGTCAACTTAAAGCTGGGTGCAATCCTACGATTTTCCGCTGGAATCTTGCTTCGGCTATACAATCTATGAATCTATCCCATTATAATGCTTGAGCTTTTTTTCCTTCTGCCAAGTATTAAAGACATTAGTTACATAGAGTTGTGAAGTACGAAAATCGGACAGACGGATTGGGAAAATTACAAAGGTACCGCAATAGTTCGACGATCAACAAGCATCCTCTGCAGTGGTTTCCGAGCCACGAACCGAGCGATAAAGGTTTTCTGAGGCTCTAGTTTAGGCAACATACAAGGCTTTCAAGTATTTGACGGAGACAGTTTTCGATACGGTGGTCCCTTACTTCCACGTGTAGAAATTCGAAGGACACTTTCTGTCCTTACTGAGCACTCATCTAGGAACATCTGTGGGCAGGAAAAGCGGCCTATTGCGGATTTAAACTAGTACATCTCATTTCCAAATAGAGCACTGAAACCAATGGTACCCGTCGATGAATTGAATATAAAGAAAACTGATAAAGCAGACCAACTTTGAATGATTGACAGGTTGTATAATATTCGAAACGGAAGACAGAAACGTTCATGAACCGGAAACCGAAATAACAACAAGAAAATTAAGGTAGGGGAGGAACACTAAGAAAATGTTCGGCCGAGTTGAGGTGTTGGCTCATCTCAGAAGGAATTGAGGAAACAAAAAACTTAGAGGATTGAACTCATACTCATTGAAGTGCAGTATTCCAAGGTAAAGACCAACATCGCGCATAGTCTCTGTAGACTGAAGGCGTATCCGAATGTCGCTTAGACCTGGAAAAATTGTCAAACGCTTGGCGCAGAAGCATGATCAACGACTCCTCACATCGATTTAAAGTGACAAAGAATGAAGTCTTTGGTCGTTAATAAATCCTGTACGAGGAATGCGCCCACGCATTCGACTTCCACTCAAGATCGTAGCGGGGATAGTGATGTTATTCTCCCAGATTAACCGGTACCTATCACCCGAGCCCGGAGGTATGGAATGCTTCCTTTCCTGGGCGAATATCTATCTGGGATTTGAAACCGTGACCATTCATGTGAGATGGTGCGCCAAATGCCACCACAAAACTTCAGCCTATTTGCTTTGTTTACGATACATAATTCAAACTCAACATTCAAATGGTAAACACTCATCATATCTTACACAACAAATTTTTTCGCAACACTGCTGTCGCTATCTTATATTCGCATAAAAATCCCGTACCAATCGCGTAACATTTTTGTATCAATATCTGCCCTCACAAAGGATGAAGAAAATGGGAACAATGACCTTCTGAAGTAGCATTCCTATACCCGAATAATGGACTTACCTCTATCAAAAACCTTGCCCCTAAGCGTGTCAGATCGGGTTTGTTTTTGAGCACGTGCGTCGTTGGGATTTTTGTAATACGTCATGGTTTTGTACGATGACTTCTGTTGATAACCTATTGGTACAGTCACTTCATAGAAGCTATTATTCGGCGTCACTTTTTACGGGACAATCATAGGTCTGGAGAATCTATAGCAGTCAGTATTATCAGAATCTCAACTCTTACTGGTTCGAGCGAAAGATAGCCTACCACAGGTGGAAATGAACATTTGCAAAATACACTTAAACGACTGTAGCAGGAGGCAGAATTCGAACCCAAATCCAGGGTCACACCCAAGCACCCACGCAACAGGTTTTTTTTGCGGCAACTACCGCGACCACTGGAAATTCACACCTAAGCCTATGCCTAAGCCTTCCGTTTCATGATTAACATGACCAATCGTATAGAATGGTACGAATGTTTTACTAGTAGAATTGCTGGTTTGTGTAAAATAACAGAAAAGCAGTGGGAAACAGATTGCAAGACATATCAGAACCATTTTGATCGCCCGAGCAACGCTGGGCTCACCTGGTACCTTTGGCAAGACGGAACCCGCAAGTGATACATTTCCGACCCTAAAAAAATTCAAAGGATAAGGGAATACCCACGACAACGTGGGCGCTGTAAATTTGGCACCGAGTTAAGAGAAAACGTGGTTCCTCACTGATTCGCAAACTTCAGTGGGTAGTGGTCTCAATTTGATGTCGGAGAATAGATCGGCTTTACGAAGAGGGTCAAATTAACGATGAACGGCTCTCGCAGTCCAAAGTCACTTACCAGCTCAAGAAGCTGTTTCTATTTTCTGTCATCCATTTCATTGGACGCAGTCGCACCCAGCTACTGTTCTGTCACTCAACCGTCATTGCAATCCGTCGAGTGCCTGACTTCACCCTAAGAACTGAACACCCAAGATGAGGAGCTAAAAATTATTTTTCTCAGTACAGACAGCGAGAAATCATGAGAAGGCATGGTTCCGAACGCTGATGAATGAACTCAGATGGGAGAGACGGAAGGGGTGTAAGCTTTCAAGCAAAGAGCGACATTTATCTAATTGTATGAAACAAAAGGTTCCAAAGGGGCGGGTCAACTTTATTCTAACAAGCGTAAGTGACTGCGCAACCGCAAGAATGACATTCAGAACCAGCTACAGTAATGGTAAAAACTCCACATCAATGAGCGCATCAGAAGCCCAGAAGTATATAAGCCAAAGGTCGAATGATAGTGACATCTCACATCCTTCTAGCACTTTCTACTCCGACTTATCATGAACAGCTTCGCAGTAGTCATACTAGCTGCATTAATCTATACCGTTTTGGCTGACAGTAAGTTTTCAGCATTCATTCAGAACTATTTATAATAATCAAATTTTATGAACCGAAATTTATTTTATAGAAAAGACCTATGGCTACGGCTCCGGCGAATTTGGCGAGGGACTTTTTGGAAAAGGTCAAGGCTCTTCTTACAGCAAAGGTTACATTAAAGGATTCGCAAAGAAAGGATATGGTGAATATGGTAGCCACAAATATGGTGGATGGGGTAACCACGCCAAAGGCGAAGAGTATGGCTCAAACTACGGTAAGCAATAGTAAGTACATTAGTCTATGCCTTCACGAGTTATAATTGTAATCTTAGGAACCGAATACGACAAGGACCATGAGCATGGAGAGCACGAACGCGAAGAACACGTCGAAGGATACAAATACCACGACGATGGACACCACGACCATGACCACGACCACGACCACGACCACGACCACGACCACGACCACGACAACGACCACGACTACTACCATGACCATGACCACGATCATGACCACGACCACGATCACGCTCACGGCCACCATGACCATGGCCATGGTGGTAATGGCTATGGCCACGACCATGGCTATGACCACGACACCTGTGACGATCATCACGACGACCACGACCACTACCATCATGGATATGGCATACCTTTTGGCAACCATCATTTCGGTAAGGCTCTTTTCCTTGATTGACTTTCAAAGCACAGCATTCAAACTGTTTCAGATCATGATCATAATCATGGACACGATTACTACTGAAGTGTTACTAGATTCAGTGAGGTTGATAGATTCCCAAAGATTGTATTGCTTGAAATATAAAACTGAATAAATGTTTAAAACATCTAAGACCATCAAAGATATGATTCCACACACAGCATTACATGATGCATCTTTACCGAAACAGTCACCAAAGTTTTGAGACGATGAAGTGGTCCTTTGACCAGCAAACCTTTGCCTAGCTACTTAGACAATGCAGTTCCCATGACCATTCCATAAAGGCAACTTACATAAACGGATAGATCTCAAGATGGTAGATATCTCCTTGAAACCAACAGTTACTGCTCAGGGTGCAGCCATGTCAGGGTAACATCAGTTACTCCCTCCACATACTTTTTTGTCCTAAAGGCATCCAAAAACCAGATAATGTGAGTGTTGTTATCATCACTTCCCGCTTTGTGCGTATACTAGAAGGAGTATTGGTAATAGGGGTAAATATAGACATAACACACAACAAATCCGTCCTCCCAGAATTTTTGCCCAGAACAGGGCTTCTTTGCTCCCCTCCAAGTTAATCTAACACTCAAAAAAGCGTCATTGCTGAAACCCGAGATTAGCCAAAATGCAGTGAATTTCAATTCTACCCGATACACTTACACAGTGCACTCAAACAGTGCTATGCGTCCATCCTTCATTTCACCAAAAACATTATCTGGAAAGTAGCTCAATTCTGTGGCATCCACTATCAGATTGGTTACCCGAGAAAACAATGACACGCGTGATCTCAAGAATGTTTGCGCTCAGGATTTCTTTTTACTTGTATCTTTCCAAATTTCGGCCGTTTCATGCTATTCGTCCACCCTCATAAACAATATTTATTTACAAAGTCACTGTGACACTTCACCGAAAATACGTAGTCAATCAGTGCTCCTTGTTTCAAAGCCAGTTCCATTACTCTGTGTGGCATATTAACTGAAAAGCTCCCGAGGATTGCCCCAGAGTCTGCACTTCCCCATGCATCCATGATCGCGTCATGCAGCTGTCATTCGTGAAATGACTGCATGTAATCACTGTAAACCGTCTAACAATAATACCCTGCGGATTTTTTATGAGATTCAGATGAAGCTGCACGCGGGTCACTCCATAACGTCGACTCTGTGCGGTTGGAAAACATCAAAGTTGACGTGCTAGCATGGACGCTTGCATTATCCTGACGAAAACCTAGCTTATGCTGCAGCCACGGGTCAAAGCATGGCATAAGTTGGGCTCCACAATTTCTTGATACCCTTGCGAATCCATCCGACACCAAACATATGATTTTTGTCCCAACAGTCAGCTCCCCGAACCAGCGACGAAAATGTTTTTTACTATGGTTGGAGGTATACAGTGTAACGCTCGAAATTCGAAGAAATACTTGCTTCGAGAAAAATTCCAAGAGCCTCTTTTAGAAACACGGACATCACTGTAATCTTATGTAGCGAGTTTGGTAGCGTTTAGCGAAAAGTTCAGCTAGTGCATCAAGTAACTTTTTTGGTAAAATAAGGAGTGGACTTATAGTAATAAAACACACTGTATAAAAACAGGTACCGCTCCCGACACTTCAAATTACGTGGTAATGAAAATTCCGTACTCAGTCGACCATGGGATAGAACCTTTAAATGGTTGAAGATGACCTATTGTGAGAATTATCACAATGCTTTGAATACTGTGGGATTCCCAAGCATTCATAGAATCCTGCACCTCTTACAAAAGTTGCCGACCTTGTGCTTCAAAGTTTTTGAAGAAGCAATCACAACTGATTGGAAGCCAGCTGCGAAAGTGAACTGACGAGCAATATTGGACCAAGCTAACGGTTGGAAAACTCACTAATATTGGACCAAGCTCAAGGTTGGAAAACTCACTATCTCATAGTGATCTTTGAGGCAGTCACTGTGAAGTCTGCCTAATAAGTGTGAGAGCAAGTGTCAGTTAACTGGTAGAAGCATAAACAAATCATCGGCAAATTATATTTGACTCAGCCATATACATGGCAAGGGATGATATCTAACAACAACAAGACAGCACAAAATTGTCACCTAAGGCAGCCACTACCTGTTACAACAACAAACACCACCCCTGAACCATTTGAAATAAGACCAAGAGAGGAGGATCGTGAAATCCAGGGGATTGAGTCAGAGGTCTTAGGGCTGAAGAGGAACATCTGCAACAGATGAAGCGAACACGTCGGGAGATAATCAGCTTCCCATCGCTGCCCGCTTCACCTTTCCATTTTGTAAGGGATCATCATTCAGTCCAAATCATCATGACAGCGGCAAGAAGAAGAAAATAGTACCACTTCGAAAAGGAGCGTCGTGCACCTTACTAGGCCATGTGCGAATAAGTTCCCAAGTTGTAGACTTTGATCGCTTTACCACATACATAATGCGACAGACTTTAACAGAGTGCCCTAAAGATGCAAGAGATCTGATTCAAGATGCTCCTTCTCCCTACAATGATCTAGGACACCATTTACCAGTAGAATTATGTTTCCATAATTTCCGAGCTTCCTTTAACATCCTCCGGACCTTCTTTCGGACTTCTTTATTACATCCACACTTACGTAAAGATGTGATGACCACATTGGCACATTCATGATTATGTAATGATGTGGTGATCGCATTGGCTCAAGTCCCAAAACTATCTACGCTGTAGCAACAGCAACATTAGAAACCTGTTAGCGTAACAACAAAAACTTTTAGTACTAGATGGACACTGCGGAAGATCTCAGTATATAAGCAAGCGAACAAACGGCATCAATATTCCTCTATCTCCAAGCCCTTACTACATCTACCATGAACAGCCTTGTGGTAGCCGCTCTAGCTGCCCTAGCCTGCACCGTTTTGTCTATCAGTAAGTTCTTCCCATCACCAATTAATCAAATCATTAGCCACTCACCAATCGAAGACCATTATTCAGAACAATACTATGGCTATGGTTCGGGTGAGTTCGGTGAGGGTCATCACGGAAAAGATCACAACTCCTCGTACAACAAAGGTTTCACCAAAGGGTTTGAGAAAAAGGGATATGGTGATTACGATAGCTACGTATACGGTGGATGGGGAAGCCACGCCAAAGGCGAAGAACGAGGATCCTACTATGGTAAGCCGGTGTTACATGCATATCACGGTCTCCCCAAACTTCAATTGAATTCCAGGATCCGACCATAACAAGGATCACGAACATGGAGAGCACCATCGTGAAGAACACCACAAGGGACACGAGAACCACGATGATGGACACCATGGTCACGATCAACACGAACGCGACCGTGACAATGGCTTCGGTCATGAATTTGACCATGATACCTTTTCGTTATACCAACATCGCGATCATCATCATGATCACTACGACGGACCTGGCAAACCTTTCGGAAATCACCATTATGGTAAGGCTGTGAGAAAAATCGGGTCCAATCAATCACAATAATGTCTCTAGCTCTACAATCTAACAAAATGTTTCAGGTCGCAAGTCGGACAAACGCAGACATCATCACTACTAGGCGATTTCCAGATTCGATGCAGCTAAGAGATTTCGAACGCACTGGATATGCTTGTATATATTTGAAACATCGATAAATAATGTGCTTATGCTTCCTTCACATCATCATGAACTATTTCCAGAGACTGATTGATCCCGGATAAGTTGAAAATTTGGAGATGGCCTCAAATTCTCACACAGAGATTGCATTCTGACTGCTAACCCTGTTACTTCGAGGTTGTTCTATTCGCACAACTTTTGCCAACGACCAAGCAAAGTATAGATGCATGGCCAGAAGTCCTACACTTTCAAGCTGAGAAGGGCAGTGGTCAATTCTGAGGTTTTCCAGAGAATAGTATGATAGCCCCAAGATGGGGGACACATAGGTATTAGTCGTAAAGGGCTAAATCGGGGCTGTAAAAATGGTGCCGCAGAATTTCCCAGCTGAATCGCAAGATATAGAGCTGTTCCTTGAGACAAGAGGGCCTTGTATTGACGTGGGGCAGCTATACTTTATCGAGTACCATCTGAAGATTTCCCGAAAGTTGTTAGCTGACAACAGTAAAGCTCGCTCGTAATCGTGGCTTCCGGAGGGAAGAACTTCTAGTGATATACTTCGCGAGCGCCCACCAGACGCACAGCATTACCTTCTCCCTGATCTGATCTTACGGCCGATTTAGCCTTTTGTAGTTGATCCCGGAACTGTGCCTCAACCTGTGATCCACGTAAAAAGAACCACTCCTTATGTTTAGTGATAAGTTGTTCAACGACTCGTTTTCTCGACGAGAGCGGGTAAGAAGGTAGAAGGTGCGAATAATTGCAGAGGTCGCCAATCTAGCTTTCCGCGAAGTCTACTACCGCAGCAATGCTCACAGTTATGTGGATATTGCTGGTTTGCAGTCAAGTAGTGTTGGATAGTGTGAAATGAGCTCCAATTATACATATCAAAATTTTGTACGATTCGCTCCACTACGAAAAAAGTTGCGAACGAAAAATCGTTTGGAAGAGGACTTTTGAGCGGTACTAAAGTTGCTTAAAGGCTCCGGGCAAGGCAATTTACGAAAAATTTGGGGTACCCTTTTCTGACGGGAATTCATAGAACTACTCTAGAATAAAGC